CCTTACCTCTCTTGTACTCGACCAATCATTCAAGGCCATGGTTTGCTCGTCAATCCGTACTCAAGGTTTTTCCCCTCTCAAAAGCATAATCCTTGTTCCACCTAAAATTCACAATACGCCCTCTCCCAATTGGTCTCATCCCAAATCTCATGTTTTTGTCTTAGGTACCCAAGGTAACTCATCCAAAAAGTAGCCTCAATAACTATCTTCTACTTTAGCGTGACACAGCCGTAGCTGACCCTCTTTTCACTTCCTCCTTAGCAAGCTTGCCCATATTATACATGTTCTCGTCATTCTCATATCTCTGCAGACAGAAAGCAGCGATCCTTTTCAATGCTAAGTCAACACCTAGTTCTTATTACTGCCTTGCACCTCGTCTCGCCTAGTTCCTTGTCCACCCCGTTCCTCGGCAGGCTTTCTAACCCGCAGGCCGTAGGTCTCGAYCTCTCTTTTCATCCTTACAATTCTATGCAACTCAGCCTCGTTGAAAAAATCCAGTGGTGTGGCTTCCACCCCTGCCCTTGCGAGTGTCCGAGTCTTGATAATYCATTCSTGCCTGATTACATTGGTCCATTGCTGAAACCAATGACTGGGCGTTGGCCCGAACTCGTCCTCCMATCTGAAAGCCCTATCGCCCGGCTGGTGCATCGGAGGCCGCCCCTCTTCCCTAGGCCTTGAGATCTCATCCCTCTCATCCCCGCTGCTGATTTCTACGACTTCTCGCACATCCTCCTCCTCGTCCCCCTCGTCCTCAGTCTGTATAGGGCTATACCCACCAGCAAGGTTCTTTGGATCATAGGTAAAGGGGATCTTCGTCCCCGTCCCATACCCYTCGCAACTGTCGTGACCGCTTCGTCCTTCAAGCGGGCTCTCCCTTTTCTCCTCGTCCTCCTCACGTTCGTCACGCATACCTTRTCCCCCCTCGCTTTCCCCATGCCAAGTCTCACGTCGTTCGCCCCGATTGGCCCCTTCCTCGTTAGAGACCCGAGCCTTATCTCCCATTTTTGTGTTGCCTCCTTCTTCCACATTTGCCCTTCCCTTTTCGCCCTCACTGTCAGATGATATTTCTATACCTTCTCCCTTGCGGAGGGGTGAGGGTTTCCTACACAAACATTTCCTTCCACCCCTGCCTACCACTGGCCCGCCCATGAGCCTAATGTACAATTTTCTCTTCGCTGTCCTCCTCCCTTGGCTTGGTCCAGCTTCTTCCCCTCCGGTCGGCCTGTTGATTGCCCCGATGTCGTTCTCGTTGCCGAATTTCATTTTTGTCTTTTCTCGTTTTACTCCTAAGCCCTGTATAACAAAACAACACCCGCAATGTCCCTCATGCAGTTACGCCTCCCCCCCCTTAGGCCGTTAGACATTCCCAAAATGCACCCAGTATCCCTCGCATCACGCCCTTTTTATAGATGCGAATGCATCGTTTGTAATGACCCCATATTTTTTCCGTCAAAAACTATGGTACAATGCCCCAAACATCCCTTCCCGTTGTCACACAAGCCAGATATTGCAAACCCCCAAGTCATGCTACCTTTCAACCTCAGTCAGTCCAAGCCAAAGCACCAGTCCCAAAAAAAATGACAGTCCCACGAACATGGTCAGAGACAAACCATAGTGTGGGCAAGGTTGTGGTTAGTCTTTAACTTAAGGCTCCTCTGTTTCCTTATCTTCGGCCTCCTGAAGCCATTGTTCCACTGGGTCCCGACTTAGAAACCTGACCAGTCGTTGCCCCGGGAAGGGCCCTTTCAATCCAGTTCCATCCAAATCTTCCAGTTCGAAGGTGTTCGGTCCCACCCGCTTGGCGACCCGGTAGGGGCCTTTGAACCTCCTTCTCAACTGTCCCGACCAAGTACTTTCTAGTGTTGAGTTCCTTAGCAATACCATCTGCCCCACCTGAAGTGACTCCTTTCTGACATTCTTAACATGGTCCCACCTTGCTTTGTCCCTCATTGTACTGTCCAGCACCCGGCTGACGATGTCTTCCACGACCTCCTCATTCTTAAGGATTCGTTGACATTTTGCCTCGATTAACTCTTCAGTGGTCATTTGCGGATCATCATCTAACCTATTCCAGTTAGGTACCAAGGCTTCCACAGGAAAGTCGATCTCTCTTCCGTACCAAAGCTCTGCCGGAATACATCCTGTTGTCCTTTTATGAGTCATATTCTCTGCAAAGACAGCCTGCTTAAGATACCTAGGTCAGTTCCCCAGATGGTCTGCTGCGAGCTTTGCAATCGTGTTCTTCAAGGTTCGGTGCCCTCTTTCCACAGGTGCATTGGCCTCAGGGTGATACGGCTCGATGAGCTTGATCGGAACGTAGAGTCTCTTAAGCATCCCCAATACTTTTTGGTTTACAAATTTTGTCTCATTGTCTGCTATAAACCTCCTTACGAATAGATGCCTTAAGTAGAAGTCTTCTATCCCGTCCGCCACACTCCTCCCTGTCTTTTTCTTGAGGGTGGCTGCCTCCACGAACCCACTCAGGTTATCTCGCGCATCCAGGATATACCTGTACCCATCTGTTGATATAGGCAATGACAGCAAGGTCGAGGTGGACCAGATGTCTCGGCCCTAGCACCTGCGTTGGTCTAAGCGGCTCGAAGACTCGTACCGAGCTTCGTTCTTGGCAAATTAGGCAAGTCTGGCAGTATATGGCGACCATACCTGCCATGCCTGGCCAATAATAGAGCTGCGTTATCTTTGCAAGTGTTCCTTTGGACGACAGATGACCTTCAGCTAACCCGTCGTGCATTGCCTGGATGACGTCTACTTGCCTAGATCTTCCGCACACAACCCTTCTAGGCATAGCGCCTTCCTCCCTTCGGAACAAATGCCCGCCCCTTAGGACGTATCTTTCGGCTTCATCTCTTGCCTTAATACTGACTTCCGTAGGTTGTTTGTTTCCTACCAACAACAATCCGATCTCCTGAAAGAGCCCTTCGTAGGATTGGACACAGAAAAACTCCTCTCCTTCCTTGCCCCCATCCTTTCCTTCCTGCATCTGATTTACCACCCATTGCAACTCTTTCCTTTCTCAAGATTCCACTAAGCTCATCACTGCTTTCCGGCCTCCTTCGACCGCCATTGCCATTAGTTCCTTTTTCGGTCCTACTATCGCTCCCCATGAGTCATTTTCTTCTCTGCATCCTCGAGTGGTAACTGGTCCTTCTCTAAGTTCTGCTACTACGGCAGGTGCCCCTTTCTCCAAAGTCTGGATCAATAGTTCTCCCGATTTGCATTCTCCGCTCATCATCTCGTTGTCCACCGCAAGAGTTTCTCCTTCGTATTCGAGGAAGGCGTCTATGGGCTCTGCATCCTCCATCCCTTCGGGAGTGATGCAAACCCGACTCAGCCCATATGCCTTGTTGCGGATTCCAGCAATCCGTTTGATCTTGTAATCGAACTGCCAGATGAATCCTACCCACCTCCCTACCGTCGGATCTATAGGCCTGTAATTCTTTAGAGCCCCTGCGACATTCGTCGGATCGATCCTTAAGATGAACCGCCTCCCAAATAGGTAGGCCTGGAAGGTCTTAAGGCAATGGAGGATGGCTAGGACTTCCTTCTTGAATTGCGAGTACCGCCGTTCTGCGGAGTTCAGGGTTCTACTTTCGAACCTAATCGGCCTCTTTTTTCCTCCCTCATCCTTCTGAATCAACACACCTCCTACGGCCAAAGGTCCTCCATCCATCTCTAGGATGAAGGGTCGTCCCACTTCGTCATTAAGACAAGGCGCGGACAGGGCGACTGTCTCAGATGTCAATATGCCCTTGAGCCTTTGGACAGCTCCTTCTCGCTCCTCTGTCCAATCCATGGTTCCTTCTTCCCTTATCATAGCCCGGATAGGCTCAGCAATCTTGGCAAAGTTCTTAATGAAGATCCTTCAAAAGCCGACTACGCCTAGGAATGCCCTTACCTCCGTTGTCGTGCGTAGTGGTGTCGGCCACTGTGATATCTTGTCGGTCTTTGCCGGATCCGGCTTCCTGCCGTAAGCCCCGCAACGAAATCCTAGTATAGTTACCTCCRGTACCGCTAGGATACTYTTTGGTCCACAAGCCATAATGTTGTATACTAGGAACCGGCGGAGTAAGTCCTTSATGTCCTGYWRGYRGKCCCACACAAACTTTCGGATTCCCGGTTGGATTTCWGTCTCGTCCTTCTCCTGTGCACCTTTGATCGGACTGTCATCGATGTAAGGCTCACATTTTTCTGGGAACATGTCCCCGGCCACGGCGAGCATCCTGCGTTGCGCTTCGGCCACCGCGTTTGTGAATCCCATAGGTGTCACTTGCATCTCTAGCTGGCCTACGGGGGTGTGCATGGCGGTGTATGGCATGTCCCGAACATTCAATGAAAGTTGGTCGTACCCTGAGTACAKATCTATCAGGGAGTAAATGCTCMGACCGGCGTGAATTCTGCTAATAAGTCAGCCTGAGGTAGCGAGCCAGCATCCCGGATGGTTACCGCATTCAACTTTTGCAGRTCCTGAATCCACCTTAGTGTCTTGTTAGGCTTTCGAAAGACAAACCACCGATTTGCGTATGGCGATGTCRTAGGCTCTGCAACGAAGGAGTCCATCTTCGTTTGGAGGAGGTCTGTTACTTCTCCTGCTATCCCAAATTCATAGGATGGCCCCTTGTCATTCTAGCACTCATGTTCTACCGTGTGGATTCWGACTGGCGCGATCAACTTTGCATCCAGTTGCCCCTTCTGGTGATCACTAAAGGCAAATGTCAGGTGAAACTCCTGGCAGGTCCTTTTGATCAGGCGGGCTTYTCCTTCCGTTAAGAACCCGTCTATCCCTATCTTCATTGTGTCCGCTACCTCATCTAGTATCCTATGTCCCTCCGTCGCCCTTCTTTCTCGGATCACTTGAAGGACCTCTTCCTCCTTCTCCATAGCCTCTTCCTTTGACGTCTCTAGCAGGATCGAGACCGGTTTTGCTTTCTTCCCTACCGGCTTGTACTTTYGAACACTTCCTTCCGGGATCTTTCTCCTAAAAAATGAACAGTCGGAATTGCCCCCGTCGCCTCTACGACTCGTGGTTGAATACTAACTAGTCTTCTATTCAGGCAATATCCCTTTTGCACCTCTCTTTCGAACTTGGCCAAGGCTGCYGAATCCACTCCTACCTTCTGGTATCTGAAGGCCTTGATGAGGTGCAATAGATCGGGGATCTCAAGTGCGATTTCCGGCACATCTATTCGTACTTCTTTCCGTTTGGGTAGGCTAGCACCAAGTTCAACCTCTGACTCTTTTTCCGCTACCATAACACCTAGGACTTCGTCCTCCTGCCTCCTCTTCTTCTGGGGCAGGCCCTTCTTGATCCACTCCTTCTTATTGAATGTTTTCTCAATCATGATTTCAACCCTTTCTCTCATACCCTCCATCCGTGCGAAAGCCCCTTTCCGCGTGCTATCCTCGAACGACGGTGACCATGTTGCCAATTTCCCCTTCGGGGGGTCTCCTCCCGTTCCAAGGAGTCGGAGGAGCTCTCCCCGGCCGGTCACAGGGTCCTCTATGTCTACCATGTATGAGCCATCGTGCAAGTGCATGCCTATCATCTCTACGTTCTCGCACCACGGTCTCCCGAGGMTWATGTCGTGGTCCATTTCCTCCATTACGGTCATCCGCTGAAACGACCAGATTGATTCCCTGACCCCTGCCTTCACAGCACACTTCGTGACGTACCTAGCGAACAGGATGTCCCCGCCAGCTCCCCGGATGCTCCATGTTACTTCCTTGTTTACCGTACACCYCGTGATCGTTGCGAAATCTCTTCTTATGAGAGTGATTTCTGCTCCCCCGTTTACTAACGCGTCGGTAWGATGCGTCCCRATCTGGATTTTCAGCTTCCCTACGGGCAGCGCATGAAAGCTAAGCTTTCTCCCCGGTGGTAACCTCATGACCYCGCYGCCCTCTCGGTCGGGCAAACTCAAACGAATATCCGCAAAARCTTTCTCGAGATCCTCCAAGTCCCCGCGACTCCTCTGAAGGTTAGCCACTTCTTGCGGAACTTCCTCCTCCTTCTCCCCTTCTGGTAATTCGGGGTTGTCGCCTATTTCTACTCGCCGCCGGGTCAAGTGTTGTCTTAGCCCTTTGAGCAGCCTAGGGCTAGCCTGCAGCATAGTCTGAAAAGACACCGACACCATGGTTCCTAGTAACTTGCTAATGGTGTCGTCGATCTCCGGCAAGGATAAGATCGGGATTTAGTACCTAAACTTCTTCTTGGCAGCGGTAACTTTGTCGGCACGCTCCTCTTCCCTAGGTTTCCCATAGACTTTTTCCGGTTCCTCGGCCTCAGGCTCTGCCTGGGGTTCCGAACTTCCCGCAACCTCCTCCATCATGGCGTCACGGTTAATCCTTCTCCCAGCCGTCCCTAGCCGAGTAGTCGCGTTCACCCTATCATGTCCGTCTTTTTCCAAAATGAAATTGACCTGCGGTCCGCGCCCCTAGCGGTGATCCCAGATGATCTCGCCCACCGGTTCGGCTTCTACGGGTGTTATTTTTAGCCCGTTGACCATGATGATGGCTCGCTGCATCCCTCCTGGCGAGTTTCAGTTCACCCGTTCCTCCTGTGGTCCAAATATCCCCCCCTTTAATGACCTGGTACACCTTATTTTCTAAATATCATGGTTGAGCTTTGGACACGCGTGCACATAATGTCCTATCGCGGTACAGTATTTGCATTGCTCGTTGGCGGGATCTCTCCGTCCATATCCACGCTTGGCCACCTAGGGGGAACTACTGCTTCCTGGGGCGGGAGGGGGGGACGAGATACTTGCGCCTGCATAACTAGTAGCGCGCTCTCCATCCTTTCAATCTTGTTGTCGACTCCATGCACCYGTTCGTGTAGGCTTTCAATCCCCTTTYTCACCTTGTCGCCYGTCYTACTGGTCAAGTCTATAATCTCCCCTTCCTTAAGCAAGGCCAACGTTTCTGTCACTACCGTTTTYTCAGCCWGATCCGTTACCGTGCTAAAATCAACATCCSGCGTGTTTACGAACTTACTTGTCTGTTGGTAGGCTGACAGGATCTTGTCTTTGTGGAACTTAGAGAACTGCCTGAGGAAATATTTGCTCATTATCCGGTCCGTGACCCCGGGGATCCTTAGTGCTACCAAAGTAAACTCCCGTAGGAAGTCATTGTACGTTGCGAAGTTTTTCCTCTGGACTGCCGCTAAATCGGCCTCCGTTGCCATCTTCTTTGCTGCCAGATACTTTCTCATCATCACATCCCGGATTTCTTTCCAAGACCGGCTTGCGGCCACGATGGCCATTATGTTTCGTCCTAGGCTCAAAAACACACGCTGTCCCAGGTGGTCCATCTTCTCCTCTTCGGTCCATTTCAACAGCGCAGCCAGATTCTCGTAATCTATCAGAAATTGCGTGATGTTCACCCCATCAAACGTCAACTTTTTCTTAGCATGCGCTAGGTAGCCTTGATTTTTGTTTAGTGCTCGCGCGAGGGACGATACTATCTACTTAAGGCCGCCCTCAGAGCTGCTGGCCTCGCCTGTCACACTGTTATCCGGACCTTCCTTGCCGGCCTTTTGTCCCTCCCTGGTTTTCGTAGTTCCTTCCGGGTCAAACGATTCCAACACTCTTTCCCTAAGGCTCCAGAGTCCTTCGCACCCTCGCGTCACCGCTGGCGCGGTCGGCAGGCAGCTAGCCCTACTATCTATGGCTGGCGGGGTCGTAGCCTTTTCCKTGTTCATCCCCGGAGAGTTCTCCCCCTCTTTCCTTCTTTTGCTCGGCGTTCCCCCACGGTCACTACCTTTACCCCCTTGTCCAGTCCCACCTCGGCCGGTTCTCCGTTCGTCCCGGGGCTCCTCCTGCAGAGAGCCTTCTTCGTTCTCAATCATCATTTCCTCAATCAATCTTGCATTGTACTCCGCGGTCCCTTTGTCTATCTCGACTTGTTTGCGCCTCGTATCCGTGACCCTTACTTTCTTAGACACGACACCTTCCGAGTTCCCGGGGTTTGTCCTATCCTTATTTCTACCTTCCTTGGTCCCCTGAGTCCCTTGCCTGCTTCCCCCAGCTTTCCCCGAGCTTTCCCCTGTGGAGATCTCCTTCCGGTTTTCTTTGGTACCATCCGGATTTATCGATTCTCTGTCCTTTTGCCCCCCTTCGCTTTGTGCGGCACTGCCTCCTAAGCCTGGTTCCCCTTCACTCTTATGATTATCTCTCCTCCTTCGTTGCCATTTTGCCTAGTTCTGCATAAGCCAAAGAATTCCCAGGACACACGCAATGCGAGGTTTTTAGGTTCCCTAGGCCCCTAGCTCTGTTGGCTTATCTTTATAGTCTCCTTTCTTATCCTTGTTTCCTGATTGCCCTTCCTTAAGGAGGAGCCACGACCGGCTCTGCCGCCCAGCCGAGCTATGAACGTGACTGGCTTTCTTTATCACAAGCCCATTTGTAGTGCCCTTCTCCCGTCAGTCGGCGCGAGGGAGTCCGGGTTAGGCATCCTGCTAAGGGAAGCCTTCCCGAGCAGGGTTTTCCGTTTTTTACCCTCCGGGTCATGGTCACTCATTAGGAGTCTATCCCCTTCTTTGTTTTTCAAGTGGGGTTTAGCCATCTGGGTCCGAGGTCCCTTTCTTATTCCCATCGACGAATTTCCGCACGCAGCGAACTATACTGGATCTGCCCTATTGGCGTGCCTGCGGATCCTAGTCCCGCTCGCGCCCTCGTGGTTCTTCCGGTTTGGTCGGCTCCTCGAATAGCTCAGCCACCCCTGCCAAATAGCTCTCTCCTATCTCGATTTTCCTTTGGATTATGCGTTCGTGCCCTGTCTGGTCTAGCCAGGGCGCACGAAATATCAGGATATGAATCACCTCCAGTAACTCGTGGGCCCTGTTTCCCCAGAATGGCCCATGCCTCACGGCGACATCATAGAAAATCCCGATGGTTAGAGAGGAAAAGTGGTCTGCCCACATTATTGCCGAGTCTGCCAGCTCCCGCGCCCTTGCGAGGCTCCCGAAGACGAGATTTATCATAAAACGGGGGACCCGGCACCTCAGCGGCGTGTTTGGTGCTCTGAATTCACGCCATCGCCCCATTTCCACCCGGGTAAGTAAGCCCACGTTCCTTCTACCCCTGACTGATTGTCCTATCTAGGTCAACAACCGGGCGGCCCTTTGAAAAACCGGCGCCAGCTCGTGACCTTGTGCTATCTCTACCCCCAACGAGTGTCAGCCGAGCTCAGGCAGATACATGGTCCCGGTAACTTCCACATTGGAAAACAGATCGTCCGCGGGTCCTCCGTCGAGTCTCATCCCTGTCCACCGACATTCTACCAACATGAAGGCGGCGTCCCTCCCCAAAGTCACAGCCCGCCATTCTATATCGAACCCCCGATAAGTTGAACTCGACGGGAGGGATACTTCCCAGCGTCCACTGTTATTCCACGGCGGTCCGGGGTACCGAGGTTGGCGCGCCATTCGCACACGGGCCTGAAGTTCCTTATGCTCACGTCTTGCTGCCATGGTGACCTTGGTGATTTCCTGCATGATCCACATGGAAAGTGTTACAGCTTATCCTTAGAAACCGTCCACCTACTGCCCCCTTGCCCTTCGTGTTTTTCAACTTTCTTTTCTGGTTCCAACTATCTCTCCACACCTCCGCGAGCAGTAGCCTTTTCTGGGTGTTCATACAATCGGTACAGGTCGTCTATGTGGGTCGCGCCCCGGCCTACCTCCCGCCGGATGACTCCCCACAAGGCCTCGTCATCTATTTGTGGGACTCCCGGCCTAGTATCTATTGCCGCCCGTAAAATGCAAAGCACTTCGCGGCCCTGTTCGTCCCCGAAAGGCCCCATCTCTAGAAAGGCCCGATAGTATTCTCGATACATTAATGCTTCGTCAAAATTTAGCCTAGTTACGGCAGTCACCGCCTGCTCCACTCGTTCTATGCCCCCCATTCGTCTTAGCAGGGAGGGTGGTAGACTCATCCGTACGACCTCATTTGGCAGCTCAAAACCCCCCGCCGCGGCGACTTTTACCTCYGCCGTTACGTCATSTCGTTCCGGGTCTGCAAACTCAAASCCCTCCCGCYAGGTTATTTGYCGTGCCCCTTCGAACATTCGCACGAGGTCATCCCCAGAAGCCAAAGCAATCCCAAAGGTCCGCCATCCCTCTTTCGACAGGTGTAAGGATCCCGTCGYGTGTACACGCCCTGGGYGGTTCAAGTCTACKCACCCRAACTCCCCTYTCGCCCGCCATTCTAGCTTCACTACTAGGTATACCGTATCTTCCACCAAATCTACCCCCACCCAGTCCATTACCGGATTGCCTACCGTATTTCTCGCCGGCAGGCTTATTTCGACCCTGCCCTCTGATATTCTTGGTGGCAGTATCCCACGCAGTCTATCCGCCCAGAACGTCATTCGCCGAACCATCTCGCAATATCTCCTTTCCTGCTTTCTTAGTCCGATCGCTGCATCCACCGAGATTCCATGCCTTTTGTGTTTTAGTCTTTCGACTATCCCTACTTATCGTACACTGGTTCCTGCCGCTATCCCCAACTCATACACGTTCGATTCTACCCGACCCCCATTTTCCAGTTGCTGTCACTTCCCCCTTGTTTCGATCCTTATGCACCATCTACGGCCTAATGTACACACCCCCTTTCTTATGTTACACCTTACTTCACAAGCACACTCCATACTCAGCCTTTTTCGTTATGTTCGATTCCTTGCCCTCATTAAGTCGAACCACAGTACCTCAAATAGTTTAAAGACGTCGTCTACGTAGGAGGGTGCAGTCGCTGCTCCCGGCTAACTATGACGTCCCAAGACTCCGCCTCTACCACTAGGCGGTCATACCTGCCTATTCTTAGGAGGATGACGACTTCCTCGACTTTATCTCCGTAGAAGGGCCCATATTTCAATGAGAGCCTATAGAACTCCTCAGTCAACCAGGCACACTCTATATGCACCCTTCTCATGGAGTCGGCTACTTCTAAAAATGTGCTCACACCCCCCAAACCACTCGGCTATGAATTTCGTTACCCAAGCCGTTGTCCGTAGACTTGGAGGTTTGAATTCCTTCCATCCTCCCATCACAACTCTGCTACTAACTTCGTCCCATCCCTTGTTGGCAAACAACTTGCCTTCCTTT